TGAAGCTAGGCAAAGAAGTCTGGTACATAGTTCACAATAATAGAAAATATGTTGGAGAAATTAAGAATCGAGATTTCAATAAGTGATTAGATGTTGGACTGAGTCAAACATTTGGGTAAAAGTGATCTCATTAGAGAGTCTACGTTGAAATGTATAGTTTAAATATTTTTCTTTTGCTATGTTAAGGGGTTTATTCATGGTCTTGTACAGGCTGGATAGGTCTTTTGGATATACCCCCCCAGTACTTTTAAATTTTATTGAGAATGTCATACATGTATACAATGTATTTTGTTCATATCTGTACTCATTTCCACTCCAACTCTGCCCAGACTCTCCTACAGCATCTCTCTCTCTGTGTCTCTCTGTCTCTCTCTCTGTCTCTCTGTCTCTGTCTCTCTGTCTCTCTGTCTCTCTGTCTCTGTCTCTCTCTCTCTCTCTCATGTGTGTGTGTGTGTGTGTGTGTGTGTGTATTGATAGCCCACTTGAGTCCAATTAGTACTTCCAGTATGCTATGGGTCTAGGGCTGACCACTGAAGTATGGGCAATCTACCAAGTATGGGCCATGCCACTAAGGAAAACTGACTCTTCCTCAGCAGCCATCAATAGCTCCTCAGCTATGGGAGAAGTCTTGTGAATCCCTCCCACGTCCATGCTAGAATGTTTACTGGCTTGGTCATTTGTAGGCAACCACAGCTGTTGTGAGTTCACAAGTGCACCGGTCCTGTCATGACTTGTAGACAGTATTTCACAGCAGACCTCCCCATCCTTTGACCTCTTCCATGATGTCATCTGACCCATGGCGAAAAGGGATGTGATATTAGAGTGGAGCACCCCACAGTCACGTGTTCTCTGCATCTTGACCAGTTGAGTCTCTATATTAACCTCTACCCACAGCAAAAAGCTTATGGAGCTATCACATAATATTTGTACACATTTCTGCTTGTCACAACTAGGAGGTGCTGTTAGCACTAATGGATGGAGATCAGGGTTCTTCTCATAACATCCAACTTATCAACACAGAGGACAGCATCCTCTACTTCTGGCAAAGAAAAATCCTGGTCCAAATGTCAGTACTACAGAAACCCTGCAGTTCTGGTCTCAAAGAAATACAGATGTAGGAAGTGGGGACCATCGGGTACCCCAGAGATAAATTTCTTCACCCAGTATTAATACTGAGGTAGGTGTTTGTGTGTGTGTGTGTGTGTGTGTGTGTGTGTGTGTGTGTGTGTGTGTGTGCAAAATCCTGAAGAGTATTCAGGTAGGAACCCTAAGCCATTTATTCTCTATATCAGATGATTCAACATCAGTATGGTTGACATTAAGGGCCAGATTCTTCACCGAGTGGGTAGTACACATTGTAAGATTTTATTAGTCTTGCAGTTTCTGCTCATCAGAAGCTTATAGAACCAGCAAGACAGATTTTTTTGAAATAGATACGTAGATGCCAATTAATGGTTGCCAGGGGCTAGAGGAGAAATTTGGAATAACTTGTTCACTGGATGTAGCATTCTTGTTAAATATTTTTTTATTACACTTTTAATTGTATACATTTGTGTGTTGGTGTTCACATGTCATAGCACCCTTGTGGAGGTCAGGAGAACTTTCTAGAGTTGGCTCTCCCCTTTTACCTTAGGGATCACAGAGCCTGAACTCAGGTTTTCGGTCTTGGCAGTAGATCTTTTTACCTGCTGAGTCATCTGGCCAGCTCTCTCAAATTACCTTTTTGGCTGATATAAAAGCGTAGGAAGTAGCTAGCAGTGATGGTCACACACAATGCTGAGTGCAAAAAGCCACTGGGCAGCAAAGGGTTGAAATGTTTTTAAATTTGTAGGGTGGTGATAGTGTGTGGGGGTGGTGGGTGGCAGGATGGGCAGAATATCCCTCAGTTGATCGACATCTTAGTCAATCATGAATATATAGTGTGGCATCTATACATAATGTGCTATAAGTGATAATTGAATTTTGAAATAGAAAAAATTGAAAAGATTTAAAAACATCCTACACAAAGCTCAAGCCAGTAAGTTTCCAGCATGGATGGCTATGAAGGCCCCACCTGCAAACTGAGGAACTATTTGCAGTTAACAGGTGATGGGGGTTATTTTTTCTTTGAGAGTGTAGCCACTGGTAAGTTCTCTGGCGGGTTATCCTACATCAATCCACATATGCACAGCCAGTGGTTTAAGAAATGATTTTTTACAAAAATTCTCACTGAGGCTGATGAGATGGCTCAGTGGGTAAAGGTGATTTCAGACAAGCCTGATGTCCTGGGTTCAGTCCCCAGGACCCACAGGATGATGGGAGAGAACCTCCACATGTGTGCTGTGGAGTGTGAGTGTGTGTGCATGCACGCACACACACACACACACACACAGTTAATAACTTAAAAACTGCATAAACTTATTTTAAGTAGTTGTATGAGTTTTAATGTTAGCATACAGGAGGCTGGAGAGATGGGGAAGTGGCTGGGTGCATGTTGCTCTTCCAAATGACCTGGATTCAGTTCCCAGCACCTGTACCAGGCAGTTAGCAATTATCTGTAGCTCTAGTTTGGAGGAGTCTGATACCCTCTTCTGGATTCCATGGGTACTTCATGCATGCAGTGCATATACAGACATTTGCACGCGCGCGTACACACACACACACTCACACACACACACACACAGTTAGCATAGAAATCAATGGGTTTCGTTATGGCCCCTTCATTTATTGTTTTTGTTGACTGTCTTGCCCCCATCTGTTCACAGAGCTTGC